ACGAGGGAGAGAATACACTGGGCTGGGCATCAGGCCTGTATTCCAGTCCCAACTTCACTAATTTGCTATGTGACGGTATTCTTTTCCCTCCCAGGGCTTCAATTTCCGTATGCAAATAGAAGGTTTTAATAGTTTTTTGAACAATAGCTTTCCCGGTTCCTCGTAAATACTGTACTGTTTGTTATTGCCAATTTACAGCTGTGGACTGTAAGACAAAGGTTAGGTAACTTGACCAAGGTCACATCGCTATTGACTGATTAGAGCAGATTCAAAGCTAGGAAGTCTGGCATCCGTCTTAACTACTGGACTACCCTGTCTCTTACTCAGAAGAAACAACCACCACCGTAGGCTTTCCTTGAGGATGAATCAAAATAACTTGGGAAAGTAATTTATTTTTCCATCTTCATTACCAGCTTGAGCCCCTCTCTGAAAGGTGCTGAGGGGGCCCTGCAAGGGGGACTTTGGCCTCAGCAGATTCCTGAGCCTTTTCTGACTGGCCCACCCTCTACAAAGTCCCAGTTGCACTGGGGCTAAAGGGGAAAAAAAGCCAAGCTTTTCTCCAAGTGTAAGATCACAATTCTTTATCTGTTTGTCTATAGATAATGGGATAAAACCCATCAACCCATGTGCCTGGAATTTAATGCCTAAATGGTTTGTTTGGCTTCTGTTTCCAGCCAATCCTGCCCAATCCCTCTGCCTTTTTTGTTACATCTCTACTTTTACTATCTCCAGGATTTCCCAGGTTTTTGCAGGTGCTTTTCTACCTTCCAAAATTCCCTTCTTGGTGAAACAAAATCTTTTGAGGCCCACTGAGCTCAAAGTTCACTTCAGAACCTTTTCAGTACTCTGCAGTCTGTCCTAGCTCCCTGGGTCTAGACAGAGTTCTATTACAGCATTAGTGATGAGGTGTTGAAATTATTTACTTACAACTCACTGAACGTTCAAGAACTGTTGGCTAAATACTCTAGTCCTAAAGCCTAGCAACAGTCTGGGGGCTGAGAAGGCAGAGAATGTTTTAAATTGTTGTGCAAACTGGGCATCTTTTTAGGGCTCTTAAGATGTTAAATATTTCCCCTAGTTGAAGAGACTTCAGCGCAGTGCTCTTTCCCACCCCTTAGGCAGTGTCTGCCAGGTAACACTGAGAGGCAATATTGGTATAACAGTATAAAGGTGGAACTCAAGCTCAGAAAGCGTTGGAATTCAAGTCTCTCAAAACCAAGGCCCTCATTATTTCCAGAAAAGCATGTGGGAAATCTCTTGAGGAGGTAACATATGAATCAGGCCTTCATGGATTTCCATAGGAAGAGGGTGTTCTAGGCAGAGATAAAGAACATAATATAACAAGGTATACATGGGGTGAGAGGTGGAGTGGTGCACCAGGAAGGGTCAATGGTGGTCTCCAGGGGCCAGCTGGGTAATGAGAAGAACAGACAGGCAAGGAATAAGAAAATTTGATAGAAACATGGGTTAAAAAGTTACTTTCTTCTTTGCTGTAAGAGAAAATGGCAACATTAGCGCCTGCCAGAGTAAGGGAGCCCTCTGGGAGTGGTGGTTGGGAATGGTGGTGATGGTGATGGGTAATAGAGCTCTTGCAGATTGTTTTCATGCAGAAACTCAGGCCCAGGAGTGCCAGATATTTTTAAAATATAGAAACATCTTTTAATATTGGCAACGAATTAAAACTTAAAACGTACTCTGTCAGCCAACCAAAACCCTCCTTTTGGGGTTGTATCAACTTTTTGGCTGCTAGTCTGTAATCGCCGCTTTAGGAATTGATCTAAACCAAAGTGAGGAGTTTGTGAACTACTTTGGGCTCAAAGGGCTGTGGAGTGGTGATGAAATGTGAAAATCTTACAGAAACTCTAGAAAATGCAAATTAAACCACAGTGAGAGCCAGAGCTTCCACCAGTGGTTGCTGGGGGTTAGGCAGAAAGGAGGGATTCCCAAGGGGCATGTGGAAACTTCTAGAGGTGATGGACATGTTCACTCTCTTGACTGTGGTAATGGTTTCATGGATGCAAATATGTCAACACTTAACAAGCTGTTCATTTTAAATATGTGCCATTTACTGTACGTCAGTTATATTTCAATAAAGCTGATTTCAAAAATTCTTTATAGCAGAAGCAGGCTGTAACAATTCTTAATTCCACTGTTAGGTCAAAAGTTTAAGCACCCTCACTTCAGTGACTTCCAAAAAATCCAGTCTAGGATCACTCCAAAGAACACGATTTAGAACTTTGCAACAGGTTTTTATTTTTGCTTTATATCTATTACAGTGTTTGAAACCTAAAGAAATACATTTTCTCTTCAAATTTGGATGTGTATATAAATATCATTTGTCTGGACTCAGCACACTCAATGCCATGGTTTCTTGGCCTGTATCTGCTCTGAAATCATCAAGCTTTGTCTGTCTACCCAGGGGCCCTGAGAACATGGAAAACAATAGCCAGAGTTTATAGTTCTTAAAAGCAAATAAATTTGGAAAGAAAAACTAGTAAGGGAAAAGGTTTGATTCACCTTCCTAGGGTCTATAGCTGGGAACCCAAGCTGTTTTTGAGGGACATCTGGTCTGTCCTGGGTAACTGCGACCTCATACCCCCTTTGCTTCTTTAGTGGTTCAATCAAAAGCAGTTCCCACAAATCTGGCTAAAAGAGCCAATACCCAAATCCAGGGCCTGAGGATTGTCGCCATGGCAGAGTTTTCTCTTCCCAAACCCAGAGGCCGAACATCTGACCTACATAGGGGAGCAGGGCTAGAGTTTAGCGGAGGGGTTCAGGAATGTGCTAATGTGGACATCAGCAGTCAGGCTGGCCCAGAAGCAGTGAGGTGCGCCCAAATGACCTTTATGACACACTACACAAACCTTTCTCCTGGGATGTTCTGGGCCCCAAATTTAATGGTGCCTCTTCTAATTCACAGCCAGGTTTGATTCTGTATGTAGCCCAGGCCTGATGCAAAATGCCCTCTCAGAGGAAAACAGCTTTAATTAACAGACTTACTTGGTTTGTACTGACCTCAAAATTCTTCCCTTACCATGGTCTTCATCTGGGGGTGGGTCTAGGGAACAGCCAATGGGATGACTGAATCCTTTATGAAGGCCTTGGCCAAAGAGCAGCTATTGCCTACCACATGGATCCCCGCAGGGCCAAATTCTCAGCTTGTTGGCTTAACAAGAAAAATACAAAAGTTAAGACAGAAAAAACACTGGACAAGATTGGTCTAAAATGTGCAATCCTAAAACGGCTATGGAAAAAACCTACTCTGAGCAATTTCTCAGTCTCACAATGCACTTATTTCTAGGATAGTCCTACTTGGAAGATGTTGCTACTGGTTGTGAGGCTTTCCTATGGTTCAGTGCACTGAGCCTTGCACCCTTCCCCAGCCTGCCAGGGAGGCAGACAGGCACACACAATCCTGAGGTCCCCAGCCAGCCTCTTCTCCCTATGGGTCCCTGTAGTGCCTGCAAGGACCTGGAGAATCTGGCTCCTTGCCTTCAATTGGGAATCCAGAAGCCAAGCCCACAAGATGAATCTACTGAGGAATATTCAAGATGATGGATACCAAGCTGAGTGAGTCTTGGGGAGAAGAGACATGGCCTGAACAAATGAGCTGAGGCCTTCAAAGAAGGGCCTGTGGGAGGTGGAGGGGAAGTACTGCTAGGCGTTCATCTCCTTCCCTTCTATTTTGCTGGAAACGGGTAATTGTACAGTGTATGGGGAGGGCAGGCAGACATGAGAAAATTGAAATCTAGTTCATCCTGCTAGAGTTTTCATATTAAACTGGTTTGGCTTAAGAGAAAATGAAGGTCAGTGCCTGAGAGCCTTCTTTCGCTCTTCCTTAAGTGTGGTAGCAGCTATAATCTGTGCAGTTCAGCTCTAAATAGGGCTCTTGGAAAGAGGCTTCCAGGGAAAAGAAAACAGGAGTAGATCTAAAGGTTCTAGGTAAGGAGGAACACAAAGGGTCCCAGAAAGCTGAAGTCATCAACACCTGTTACTTGGAAGGGTCTTTTGTACCCACTGCCTCAAGTAACTAGGCTGGCCAGGTGAGGGTGGAACCTATGTGGTTCTAACAGAAGGTTGCAGCCAATACCATGGCCGGTCAGTCAGCGGGGATAGCTCAGAACTGAAGGCAGGCTTCTAAGACCCGAGAGCCTGTTAATACTAGAGAAGATGACATGGGGGTGGGACGCCCAGAAGGGCTGGCAATAAAGAATAGCTGGCACTGTTCAAAACAGTATTTGAACACTTGAGCTAAGAAAAAGGCTCCTTGTCCCCTTAATCCACACCTAAGTATCTCCAACCCACCAGAGATCTTAAAATGGACATAGCTATGTGCCAAAGTATTAAGATTCCAAACACAAGTCTTCTCAGGCTACTCCCTACAGCAGGTGGGGGAGCCCCTCCATCCCTGTAACATCCATTCAGAAATCTGTCAGAAAGCTCTGACTTCACCTAGGCCAGGGTCTGGAGTCCAGATGGGGACTGCCCACGAAGAGTGGCTGTCAAGCCTGGGCTAAAAAATATTTTGCTTCCCAAGATGGCCAAAGGAGAGAAGGAGACACAAAAGATGATGTTACTGCCTCTGTGGGCTGGAAGAACTTCACCTGTTGACTGAAAAGGGGGTCAGAGGAATACAGTGGGAAAGCACGGTCTGAGGAAGACACTAACAAAGGAAAGCTCCTAGAGGCCACGTTTATCTGAAGAGAAATTTGTCCTCGTGCCCTGGGAGACTTCAGCCTTTGGAGTCCTTGTAGAAAACAGGCTTCGAGTAGTAACCCATGATCAACAGAGTCTTCTCTTTGGTGCACGGCCCAGATCTGAAGCAAAAGTAGATTTGGGAGGAACAGCTGGGGAAGGCAGGATGTGTATGTCTCACGATAAGAATTTGGTCCCAATGTCAGGGACTTAATTATTGCTAGAGATGTACAAAGTAGATCTTACTAAAATAAAATGCTCTGCCCTTTGGACAAGGACAAGGGGTGGGGGGTGGCTTTCTTTTGAACTGTAGGAAAATGGTTTTGTAATGGAGTCGGCAGGCCAAGTGAAGAGGGTCCTGCGCCTTGCCTACCTGGGAGAGTGGGGTTGGTAGTTATCATGCCCAACCTGCAGAGCAGCATCTGACTCACTTAGGCAGTACAGCACTGGTGTCACTTTTCAGTGATAGCCACCAGCTGCAACCACTTTTCTCAGAAAATGCCTCTGGAGTTAGATCTCAACACTGGAAAGAGAGGGCAAATTCAAGACCAGTGGCCAAAAACAACTGAATGTTGTATCTGTAAGCAGAGTGGCATGGATTTCACCTGAGCCAGAGGGGGATGTGTAGCAATGGGAGCAAGAATGGCATTGTTCCTGGGGAAGGGAAAATACAGTTTGGAGCAGGGCACCTCTGCCCGACATCTGTGGGGAAGCAGGGACAGGGCAGATTGTGCCTTCAGCTCCACCACTGGCCTACACTTAGCCAGCAACTTCCTCCACCCCATCCCCAACACCTGGGCTTTACTATCACATGTAGTCCATTGAAGCACACAGGCAAGCCATTGAGGCACTGCAGTAGCTCTACTCAAAGGGGAAAGAAAAGGCATTAGGATTATATCTGTCACAGGAAGGGTAAAATCCAAACCATGTACAAGGATCCCAATCAGGGAAGACATCAATCACTCTCAAAAAATGTCCTGAGGCTGCTAAATATCTCGGATAGGAGACACGGCAGCCATCTGTGATAACTTATGTGGACAAAGGTGTTTGAGACTGAATCTGAGGAGGCAGACTGCTTTCTGGGTTTCCTGATGTAAGCAGGATGCTCAGTGGTAAGGACTAGAGTGGTAGACCTCACCGGGCCCTGGGGCCATCCTTGCTCCCTCCATTCAGGTACTAGGACAATCAGACCAGGCTGCTCTGCTATATAAAGGTTCCAGAGCTAAGGGTTGGTCCCTGGTGGTGGCCCGGAACCCAAGCAGAGAGGAGAAGGATCAAGGTCAGGCTTCCTGAGCAAGAGAGCTTCCACATCTCTTTTTGGTCTTCCTCACAGTATCCCACTTACAGAAATTACAGAGACAGTTCCTCCTCTTGAGACCAATTAAGGTTGACCTACGTAATATATAGAATATAAAAAAATACAGAACTTTTTGACATTCTCTCCTTTGGAAGTAAAATATACATGATCCAACTACGGAAGAGGAAGAAGAAGAAAGGCCAAAGGCAGGGATCCACTGGCTATCCCAATACATGACACTCTCACTCCAACCTCCTCTGCAATTTATGGGTCACCAGAGCAAGGACTTTCTCCTCAGGAGAAAGGAAGGACCACAGCCCTCTGTCACGTGCTTAGGAGAAAATACAGCTACCTCAGAGGTTCATCTCAACTCTGAGGGGAATTTTCAAGTAAACAAATGAAGTTGGGTCGCACCACTGGAAGGTGGGTAGGAAACATGGGATCAGTAGCGACACATGGGAAGCCCCGTCTGAAGGCCTGTGTTCCTCTCCCCTCACTCCCACTGGTGTACATGCCCCAGGAGAGTGAAGGGGATCTCCCAAACTAAAGAGGTCTGGGCAAGGGGTTAAGGGAGGGAGGGGCCTTTGTCTCATGGTGACCTCCCCCTCAGCCTCTAGTCCCAGACAATGCTGGCAGCTGGGATTCCTAAAACCAGGAACTCATGGCTCTGGGAAAGAGCAATTGTAATACAAGAAAAATGTGCAAAAGAAAAAAAAATTAAATAACGCAATCCAAGCATACTAGATTAATATTCTGTCCGAGCAAGAACACTTTGTTTTGGATTTCTCCCCTCCCCTCCCACCCCCGACCTGTGGAATATTCCATCTGCTCAAGTACCCAAGATAAGAGTTACAGAGATCAGGGCAGAGGACTGGGAAGGATGAAGGAAGATAAAACGGAAGGAAGTCACCACTAAAGAAAAAAAAAATAAAAATAAAAAAGGTGCAAAATTGATTACCTCAGTCCTCCTTTGTCTACCCCCGGGCTCCTGGGTTAAAGACATATGTGCAGCCAAAATCTAGTGTAAGGAAGAAAAACCCAACACGTCCCCTTCTTGTCACAAAACCCAAATGTGAGCCTCAGATGGTTCTGTCTGTCCAGAGGGTGCTCCCTCCAGGGAAGGGGGCGGAGCGGGTCAAGAGCACAGTTTCCAGGGCAGCAGAGGTGTGTGGTGGCTGATGGTGGGGAGGGCTGGTTTCCCGCCCACCAGAGGGCTGCCTTTCCGCTGGTTGGTGGTGCTTCCCATCCCCTCCCCTCCCCGGAGGCAGACATTATAGCTGGAAGCCCTCCATGGGGGCCTCAGGCTGCTGGAAGATAAACTGCTGTTGCGTTTCATCCACTTGGGGAGCCAGGCTGCTATCATCATCTTCTACGCCAAAGTAGTGCTCAATGAGGTCAAAGGCCTTCTGGTAGATCTCCTGGTTCTCATGGCTCTGGAGAAACTCAATTTTATCCAAGCCTATGGTGGCAAGAAGAAAGGAAGGAGAAGAGTAAACTTTGAGTGCTTTTCTCTGGGTCCATGAAACAATCTATTTTTTCCTTCCCTGAGTTATGCTAGCATTTATAAACATCAAAAAAAATCATCAAAAAGTCTACAAGGGAATTCCCTGGTAGTCCAGTGGTTAGGACTCAGTGTTCTCACTACCGGGGCCCTGGGTTCGATCCCTGGTCAGGGAACTAAAATCCTGCAAGCCACGCTGTGCAGCCAAAAAAATAAAAAAGTCTACAAATAATAAATGCTGCAGAGGGTGTGGAGAAAAGGGACTCCTCCAACACTGTTGGTAGGAATGTAAACTGGTGCAGCCACTATGGAGGTTTCTTAAAAAACTAAAAATAGAGCTACCATATGATCCAGCGATCCTACTCCTGGGCATATATCTGGAGAAAACTGTAATTCGAAAAGATACATACACCCCAGTGTTCATAGCAGCACTATTTACAATAGCCAAGACATGGAAGCAACTGGAGTATCCATCAACAGATGAATGGATAAAGATGTGGTGCATATATATAATGGAATATTACTCAGCCATAGTAAGAATAAAATAATGCCATTTGCAGCAACATGGATGGATCTAGACATTATCAAACTAAGCGAAGTAAGTCAGACAGAGAAAAGACAAGTATCATATGATATCACTTATGTGGAATCTAAAAAATGATACAAATGAACTTATTTACAAAACAAAAAAAGATTCACAGACATAGAAAACAAACTTATGGTTACCAAAGGCGAAAGGGTGGGGAGGGATAAATTAGGAGTTTAGGATTAGCAGATACAAACTACTATTAACAAAACAGATAAACAACAAGGACCTCCTGTATGGCACAGGGAACTATATTTAATATCTTGTAATAGACTGTAATGGAAAAACAAAACAAAAGAAAGAAAAGAACTTGCTGCTAGAAACTCAGCTGAAAACATGCCTTCCAGCTCCTGATTCTACTATCAATTCTGGAGCTTTATTTTTGCATCTGTACCATAACCTACTTTCTAGGTAGAGTCTATCAGAAACAGAACTCATCTACTGCTCCTCAGAGGAAATGGAACTGGTCGGATAAAACCAGTTCATTCAATGATGACCCCCTCAAAACACACACCCTCACATATGTATACTATTTCAGAGTTTCTCTCTACTTACGGCAGACGTGAGGTTGGGGAGAGGGCACCTACCATAGGCTTCCTCGATGAGGCCACAGTAGGGATTGACCCCTGAGCCACTGCGCTTGCCCTCTTGCTCTCCGAGCCGAAGGATGTTCTCCAGTCCATTGAGGGCAACTTGCACAATCTTTGAATCCATCACAGTCAGCAAGTCGCACAGGGGTTTGATGCAGCCCAGGGAGACCAGGTACCTGAGGGGCAGAGACCAGGTAAGTTCTAAATTAAGACAAGGCAAGGGAGGTGCCAGGCAGGTGCTATGGGGCCTCTGGGTCTCCCTCACACACATCAATGCTCTCAGCAATTCACTCTGACTGAGCTTTCATAACCACCCATCCTTTATCTCAAACTCATCACCCTCCCAATGCTACTGGTTTAGTTCATTTCCATGTAGAAGGCTGCCATGGATTCCTCCTCTTTGTCTCTAATGTCTCCTTGCTGCAGTATTACCTACTTTGAACACATCATTTCCCTGCCTAAAATTTCTGTAGTCCCAGCTCTACAGTCACAGCAATACAATCTGGCTCCTAACCTTTTCTAGCTTCCCCTCTCATTATTCCCTTCTGAGAATATTACATTCCAGTCAAACAGTAAAGGTCTCCAGGTTTCTGATTTTTGTACCTTTACTTATGCTTTTTCCTGTCCAAAATGCCATTTACAACCCTGTATCCTCAAAAGCTTCACTCAGTGGCTATCCTTTTCTCCTAAGGTTTTATTTATACTGAATATATTCCCCTTCCTAAGCTACAAGCTGAAGGCAAGGCACTTCTCCAATTCCCATCACTCCTACTCAAGTTGATAATGGAAACCAAAATCAAAGAGCATCCTCGCACAAAATAGCTTTCCTATTTGCTTCTCCCAAGTATCACTGCCAAAAATGATTTCCCAAAGAAGCTGCTCTGAATGAGCCATAGCATGGTTCTCTTTCATTTGTATGGATAATTGAGAATTACATAGATTTAAATTCTCTTGAGGGTAGAAAGAAGCAGAGGAGAGAGATGTCTGTGTCATAAGTTTCCATTCTCCAGGAGGGAAAAGAGGTACATGGTTTATAGGAATCTACTTCAGATTCCCATGCTACACTCTAGCAGCTTACCAGTTAAACCCTACTGGACAGGGGCAGACCTATCCCAGAAAAGGCAGTTTAGAGGCCACATGTAAACTGTGAGCCAAGAGGTAGAGTACACATATCACTCAAGACAATGGGAAAGGACTGTGATACCTGATTTGTTCAGGGGTTCCTCCTGATGTGGCATTGGTGATGGCCCAGGCTGCCTCTTTCCTTGTACGGAACTCTGCTTTCTGAAGGATTTCAATCAACACAGGGAAGATATTTGCATCTATGACAGCCTGAGAAGAATTGGGGGGTGGAGGGTGGGGTGTGGGGGAGGAAAGAAAGTCACTTCAAGAAGGATAAGCAAATCCAGACCCCAAACCAGCTAAAAGATTAAGACATCTTCCCCTTCCTGAAAGTTCTTTTCACATAGGTAAGACGCTACAGAGGAACCTGGCTTCTGTTACACAGAATCTTTGACTGATAGCATCCATTGACCCCAATTTCAAAAGGGAAATAAATTTTTTCTTCTAGAGGGCAATATCCCACAATGTCTCATGTCCCCAGGCCTTTCTACCTGCTGCCCCCCACAACTTCCCTCCTGCTTGTTCTACCTGTATCTGAGCCCTGTTGCCAGCAGTGATATTTGAAATGGTCCAACAAGCTTCCTTTCGGATTGACTCCTTGGAGCTGCTCAGCAAGTGGAGGAGGCAAGGGAGGGCTGAACAATTAAGAATGACCTAGAACACCAAAAGCACAGGCAACAAAAGAAAAATTAGATAAACTGGACTTAATCAAAATTTAAAACTTTTGGGTACCAAAAGACACCATCAACATAGTGAATTACACAAATCACAGAATGGGAGAAAGTATATACATATCATATATCTGATAAGGATTAATATCCAGAATATACAAAAAAAATTTTTTTAAATGCAGGTGGCCAATAGGCACATGAAAAGATGCCAAACATCACTAATCATTAGGGAAATGCAAATCAAAACTTCAGTGAGATACAACTTCACGCTTATTAGAATAGTTATCCTTAAAAAATCCAGGCAATGCAAGTGTTGGTAAAGATGCGGAGAAATTGGAACCTGGTACACTGCTGGTGGGAATGTAAAATGGCGCAGCCATTGCACTGTTTTGTGTGCAAAACAGTATGGTGGTTCCTCAAAATCTTAAACATAAAATTACCATATGATCCAATAATTCCACCTCTGGATATATACCCAGAAGAACTGAAAGCAGGGACTCAAACAGATACTTGTATGCCAATACTCAATGCAGCATTATTCATACTAGCCAAAAGGTGGAAGCAACCCAAGTGTCTACCAACAGATGAGTAAATAAACCAAATGTAGCATATGCACACTTGGAATATTATCCAGCCACAGAAAGGAATGAAGGTGTGACATGCTAAAATATGGATGAACCTTGAAAACATTATGCTAAGTGAAATAAGCTGAAACAAAAGGACAAATATATATGGTTCGGCTTATATGAGGTACCTAGAGTAGTCAAACTCCTAAGAGACAGAAAGTAGTATGGTGGTTACCAAAGGATGAGGGGAGGGGGAAATGGGAAGTTATTATTTAAAGGGTACAGAGTTTCAGTTTGGAATGATGCAAAAGTGGTGGAGATGGATGGCGGTGATGGTTGAATAACAATGTGAATGTACTTAATGCCAGTGAACTATACTTAAAAATCGTAAAAACAGAAAAAGTTATGAATATCTGTACACACAGGCACATGGGTGCACACACAAACACAAAAGAATGACCTAGAAAATGAGTGTGGGCTTGAGTGAGACTGCTCACCTGTAAGAAATTTGTTAAGAATCCCACAGAATTATGCAAACTACTCAAGACGCAAAGAATACTCAGATCTCTAGCCTTTGAACAGAGAAACACTGAATACTGTGCTCTCAATGGAAGTGTTACTAACAGGAGAGTAACATGAGACATGGGATTCTAAAGGTCTAGGAAGCAGGGGTGAGGTTCCATAGCTTTTAGTATTTCAAAGGTACCGTAACTCAAAATCTGTTAACAATTACTTTACAATGTCCCAGGTAGTGAGTCAGGTTATTCCATTTAGTTTTTCTTCAATAGCACCCAATGGATGATGACTTGCTTCCAATTTATAGAAAAAAGTGAAGGCAACCAAGTTGCCCCCAAATAATATAGAAAGTGGCAGAGCTTGAATTTTTCACTCAAGCCTATGCTTTCTCTCCTAGATCATGTTGCCTCCTACCAGGACCAAAGTCTGTGGCGGGGAAGGATTTTGTCCATAGACAGCTGTCCTCCTCCTCCTTACCTGGGTCTGGATGTCATCCCCGGTGACGATGTTACCCACAGCTCTCAGAGCAGGAGAAGCCACTTTGTTATCGTTGTGCCTACAGAGGAGGGCGATCTGATCAGTAGAGGGCCAGCACATGGCATTCAACTCGGCTGACCACCAAGGCCAGCAGCACTCATGGCTCCAGACCTTTGGATAGGGCAGCAGACTGCTGACTGCAGTTCTGAGTTGGAGAAGCTTAGGGAATCTGTACCCTTTCTAACTGAGATCACTCACATTAGAAGCTCGACCAATCTCCGGCAGACTCCAGAGTCTATGACTGCCTGGATCTTCTCGTTGGGGCCATCAGACAGATAAGAAAGGGCCCAGCAAGCATCTGCCAGCAAGTCTGAGTCGCTGCTGAAGAGTAGGCGAGACAGCACAGGCAAACAGGGGGAGACCTGTTCGAAGCAGAGAGAGAGGGACTCAGGTGGACACGGTTACATCATCTCTACCACTAACCCTAACATCGCTGAGCCCTCCTCTACTTAGTAAGTCTAAGACCTGGAGATTTCCACTACATTAAGCCATCAGGCCCACATTTTCACTTTACCATCCAGGCATATGAGATCACCTACTTCACTGACGACTGCCTTTTTCAGTTTCCCAAGGATGAGACTCTGAGGGTTCCCCAAAGACTTGAAAACTCCCATATCAAAATTCCTCCATATGAAGGAAACTGCTTTCACTCAGGAATTGGTAAGAAGCTCTCTTGGGACTTCCCTGGTGGCGCAGTGGATAAGACTCTGTGCTCCCAATGCAGGGGGTCCAGGTTCAATCCCTGGTCAAGGCACTACATCCCACATGCATGCCACAACTAAGGAGCCCACCTGCCGCAACTAAGACCCAGTGCAACCAGATAAATAAATAAATTTTTTTTTTTTTTTTTTTTTTAAAAGAGAAGCTCTCTTACCTTTGCAAACTCTGGGGGTGGGTTCTTGCCTCGGCACAGGTTTGACAGGGCCCAGACTGCATTCCGTGTCATTGTCAGTCGTGTGGACTTGGTAAGTAGCCTGAAGGGGACAGCAAAGCCAGATCCTGAGCAATGATGCTCTTTTCATAGAGCTGTTGCCTACGAACCCCAGGAGCAAATCCAATCAGACCCCTAAGACTCTAGAAGCCTGTTTCTTCCTACCCATAGATTTAAGTTAAGTGAGCCTGTTTGGCCCCAGAGGCCGACCTACATCTTCACAGAGGATTAGGACCAGCTGTGGCTTATTAAGACCATAGCTAATAAGGACAAACAGAGGGCTGGACTGTGAGTAAGCATGCTAAACGTTTAAGATAGGACATACTGTGCCCCTAACTGCGGCCACAAGTTCTAAACAAGAGTATTGTTGTCTTTGGAAATAAAAGCTGAAGGTTTAGTGTGAGGGCTTTGGCCATGCACTGTGGAATGATTTTCTGTGACAGGCCCAAGAAGGAGTTATAATAGTAGCCTATGAGATTGTGGCCTCTCAAGAAAAGCTCCTTCCTCTGTTTTGGTTTAGATGTAGCTCTATTATAAGGGTACAGAGGAAGGGATGGGAGCATCCAGATGACTCTGCAAGGGGTCTTAGATCTGTGGCTTACAACAGAGCTCTCCAATGTACTGGGCATAAACCCATAGCAAATCAATGCATTCCGTAGAGAAGGTTAGATTCTTCCAGATGGGCTAGTCCTTCCTCTCTCCTCTGGCTCAACAATGAGACAGGTATGACCAACATGAGATTCTACAGTGCTACAAAGTGAGGAAGCACAAGACACAGACCAGTGACACAATCTTCTTACTCTCAAAAGATACTATCTTTTACTCTGGCAATGAGAATGCACTTTTATCATTTCTGTATTCACTCATCGTCTTAAGGTAAAATGCTCCCCGAAGATCTGCCACATGGCTGCCGGAAAGATACCCCAGGTCCAGATGATAGTAATTACTCACGTTAGCAAAGGATTAAGGATGGAACAGTTCAAGACGTAATCTCGGCAGACGGAGCTGTCTCCAGCTATGTTTCCCAGTGCCCAGACTGCCTAAAAAAGGGACGATGGAACTGTCACCCACAGAGCCTAGTGGCTTCTGTGAGTACTTTATACTCACAACTACAGAGTGACACCCACCAGTAACCAGGACAAACACCCCATCAAGACCTTAAACACACTAAATAAGCTCAGGTACCCTCCTTGTTAAAATTGAGCACTTGCTCTATTTTAACTCTGAGAGTTCCTGGTTCACTGGGGGAGGCAGGCTGACATTGTACTGCAGCCAGAGAAGCCAGACCAAGACCTCCTTATCCCCACGCCCCAGAAAAGGAGAAAATGATGGGAAAATTGCATTCTTGTAGCCTCATAGGACCAACCCTATATGTAGTAATATAGGAAAAAACCCTAGTACCACTCTCCACTTCTATCCAACCAGTGGAAGAAATGGAAGTTGGGTTTTTATGATCTGTAGGTGCTGAGAAATGGGTATTGTGGTGTCTTTTTTCCAGCACCACCTCTGATGCCCAATGTGTGGAGTTTTTTCTACACCAACAACCAATTCTCTGATACCAACTGTGTCAATTCAGTTAAATTCTGACAGTAACTCGGAGTTAGGGCAGATCCCACAGGCTAGGGGCTCAGTCCCACAAGACTGCCCTCAATTTAGATACTAGCTGCAATTCCCAGGTGCTACCCATACTTCTTACCAACCGGCTATAAATTCAGGAGTTCCACAATCTCCTCCTCAGGTTCAATAATTCACTAGAATGATTCACAGAACTCAGGAAAACACTTTACTTACGTTTACCAGTTCACTGTAATATATACAACTCAGGAAGAGCTAAATGGAAGAGATGCACAGGGCAAGGTATGGGTTGAGGAGTGGGGTTGCACAGAACTTCCAAGCCCTCTCCAGGCACGTCACCTTCCCAGCACACTGAGTGTTCACCAACCCAGAAGCTCTCTGAATCTCACTGTTCAAGCCTTTTTATAACCCAATCTCTAGCCCCTCTAACCTCCCTGGGGAGGGTGGGGTGGAGGGGTGGGAAGAGTCGGGGTGGGGTGGGGCTGAGAGTTCCAATCCTCTAATCCTAAATTTGGTCTTTCTGATGACTAGACCTCCCTTCCTGAAGCTATCTAGGGCCCCACCCGGAGTCACCACTAATGCAGTGACACAGAGACTCAAGGTGTGTCCCAAAGGGGCTCTTTAGGAATAACAAAAGACACTTCTATCACTAAGAAAATCCCAATGTTTTTAGGAGCTCTTTGCTCTTAACCTCTTAACTGGGGATAAAGACAAAATATACTTTATATTATACCACTGGTACCATCAAGAATTAAGCCAGGGCTTCCCTGGTGGCGCAGTGGTTAAGAGTCCGCCTGCCGATGCAGGGGACATGGG